CCCATTTCACTTTCCTCTTTCTCTTAAGCAAGCTCAATTTCACATAACATTTTTATACTACAAGAGTTGTTATTGTAGAAGAAGAATAAAAACTATCAAGTCATATAACACAGAGCCTAAGTTTGGAAAAAAAGACAAGTTGCTCTTCTCTCTTTCCCTCTAAGAAAAAAATCCATAGAAGTTACTTTTAAATGCTGTTGTAACTCTGAGCCACATAGAACAAAGTGTAGGTGGTTGTAAATATTAGTAGAAACACAGTATGAGACTATTACTTTAAAAACATGGCCTTATTCTGGAGATGGCATTCTGGAGATGTCCCGAGTCTCAGGTCACTTGGGCTGGGATTCATAGTCAAGTGTCAGCACAACAAAGCAGGTTTGTCTTCAACTCTGTATTTATATTTGATCAGTACGGTCAAAACTATTTTTAGTTCTCTTGCATTAGGAAATTACAGTTGTTTTTGCTGTGAATTTTCTCAGCTTCCTTAGCATTCAACTGCCACCTCAGAAGTTGTTAAATGACTACTCAAGTGGTAAAAGAAGCAAGAACAAGAACAAAATCACAGAAACTTGTGATGGGTTTATGTTAGGTGTTAGTAAGCCGCTGAAAATTAGCATTAACATAGCATAGTTAAGCTAGGGCCTAACTCCAGCTGTGGGACACAGAATGAGAATTATCAACCCTCAATGCTAATACAGACAGGCTAAAAATTTTGCTTAGCTGTTTCCCCAACTTTCCCTGTTCCCTCTTCTACATAATGCACATTCCCCACATAATCGTGAATCCTGATCTTTTCTTCCAACAAGTAGAACACCCGAGCTACAATTACTGTGGTGACACAATATCAAAATGATCTAACATACTCCATCCATGATCACACTGAAAGTTGCAGGAAGAGAAACCCACAATTTATTCAACAGTTCAGGAGCCTCATTTTCTGCACAGTACCTACACTGAAGACTTTCTTCCTCTTTTCCTCAGAACAGAATGAAAAATGGTATTTTTCTTAGAGAACAGTGAATTGGAAAAGACAGTGGAAGGGACAGTTTCTTTTCTGACTGTGTTAGGAAGAAAAGAAGTAGCATCACGGAATTATATCTTGCTTTACGTATTGCATGGCAAGAGCTAAAAACCATGCTGTAACAGATCAGGTAAGAAGGGTATTCTCCTATCGCCCAAACATAGTAACTGGGTTTGCTACCGAGAGGTAGGGAACACAGCATCAGTGTTAACCTGATGTACCAGTAAGATTTGCATGAACTGGGAATTGACAAACATTTCTAATCAAGAGCTCTCAATCAAAAAACCCTGAGGGAAGAGGGAGAATCTGAAATTTCTGAAAATTCGTTTGGATTTGCTTGACTCTCTGATACATTGCTAATGAAAACAATATAAACTGGAAAGGAAACTTCATCATACTAATTAGTCTGTATTTATCCCTGCTTTTCAGCCAACAGCAAATAAAACTGAGTGAAAGTCCACTTATTCTAAACAAGAATCACAAGTTCTAAAACTTTGCAAATAGGTCTTTAGAATTGCTGCTTTTTCTTCTGTTGTCTTTTCAGTTACCAGTGGATATATCATTTTCATATTTATCCAGTGCTCTAATCTCTAAGCTGTACATTCAGTTCCCATGGGACAGTAAGACTTTTTAAATACATGAAAAAAAATGGGGGTTTGGTGCTTAGACCAGATATTAATTCAGACAGGGAATCCCAAAAGCATCTGCTCTTTGTGTTAGATTAACAGTTCCTGAATGCTAAAGATTCCCTTACAATGTAGAAGCACAAAGGAGTACTGTCAAATGATAGCATGAATCTTTGTGCTGTACATTTCTTGGGAAATTAATGCATATCTTCCAAACAAGATGCTGGATTGAAATATCAATTTCCCAAACCTATCAGAAAACAGCAACCCCTTTCTAGGACAGCATTTTTTATCAAAGAAAAAAACAGTCTGACTTGGAAGTGGAATTCAATTAAAAAATCCTGCTGACAAGAAGTCATCACTGACCAGAAGAACACAGAAAAATAAGTACTGATGAGAAATTTTCCTTACCAATTATGTGTAATACAAGTACTGTGTGGCCCTTTTATATATTTCCAGTAAGTAAAGTTGCTTAAGAGTCTTTGGTTTGAATTAAGGTTGGTTGCTTTACAATTCAAGTCAGGACCTATAGGCAGGTCACAAGACACAGGTCTGAAAGTTAAAACAGCAACAGTTTGAAGAAGGATAAAGCTTGTCAAATGAACATTGTATTCCACCTACACCTTACATCAGGTTTCTGAATCCACAAACACACATCCCTTACCTGACCCTCACTTGTTTATCGTTGCAGATTCTCTGAAATGAATACACAGCATCTCAAAAGATTCCCAATGCTGAAGTCTTTAGGGACTTGCATATTTTTAAGGTAAGGAACAGAACAGTAGATCTGTCTTCCAGTCAGTCCCTTCTGCAAATGTTTAGGCACTAACCTTCCACTCACTACGCTAGCCAGTTAGCTCGCCCTCCAGCTGTGTAAGGCTTTTCAGGGACAACTGGATCATAAAACCAACTTCCTTTTTGCATTACACCTTATAACGTGACAATGAAACAGCTATTTAGAAGAGCAATGTTTTACACCCGAAGAGCAATGTTTCACAACTAGTCTGGCAACTACTTTCAACATCTGCTCTGAGTTATAATGGAATGAATACATATACCTCTGAGAATAGTGAAAAACATCTCACTGAGACTTGGAAGAGAGAGTTAGTGAGAGATCATCTTAAAATCATAGCTGTTAAAGTGTCCCAAGCCCCTCCTTACACTTTTACTTTCAGGAGAAGGACTGATGTAAAGAAATAGCCCTCGAAATTCAAAGATGTGGCCTTCTTTGTTTTGTCCCACTCTACATGCAAGTGAAAGACATTATTTTAGCCATATTTCAATATTATTGAGCTATATTGGACAGTTAATAAATAGTCCAATACAGGCATTTTTGTTGCATTTGCACCTCTGGAAGCAATTCTTATGCCAGAGAAGGTGCTGCTGATGCAGAAGGAAAAAGTGCACTCTTCTGAGTAGCAAGGAGAGTCTGTAAGGCTACGCCTGACTTTATTCATCAGGAAGCTTCCACCTACCCGTCTGCCTGACTTGCAGAAGCTGTGCTCTGCCAAAAGATGCAGAGCAACAGCTAGTAAGTTCTGTGCTCAAAATTGCCTTGCTCATTCACAGTCAACAGTCAAGTTCAATCAAAATAAACAGTTTTGAAATAACTCACGACTTTAAAGATGCCCTGTACCACTTACATTCCTGATACATTATAATTTCTAGACAGTGTCTCATGTTCCTCAACATAATAGACTGTCACACTGCTGAAATACTCTATTTTCTGGTAGGAAGTACTTAGGGAAAATACGCTGCATTCTGACATTAATATTTGAGTTTGGGCTGCACTAAGTGAGTAATGTAAGGCTGTCTGCTTTGAATTTCTTAGGATGCAATGGATAGACACAAAGCATACTAAAGAGGTGGGAAGTTGTTATGTAGCACTAGAAAAAAGAGCAATTTTCTATGTTAACACAATAATGAATGCAATAAATATAATACACTAAATTCTCACCGTGGCAGTGCTGTTTTGAGCCATTTTCCTGGCAAAGCTGTCATTTTGGTTGAGGGGAATTAAAGGCATTACTACAGCACAAGACAGCACTGACAAAATGGAGAAGAGGGTCTATGGAAGGGAGAAAGCTTAGGCAGCAACTGATTACAAATCCATCCACATAGCAAGAATGAAGCTCTGAAGAGACTCCCTACACATGCTCCCTCCACACAGTGGTTATTTAATTATGCCAGAAAGGGTGGAATAAAAACTTCAATAAAGTAACAGCAACATGTTTTCTAGTATGGCAACAACTACTGGGCATCCAGGAACAAAAAAAACCACAGTACCAGATGAATTATAGCACTCAAAATCTGCATCACAGCATACCATACTGCTTCCTTATAATAAAACCAAATCTAACACATCACAGAAATAATATGTACTGGGAGTGTCCTGAAGATTCAGGGGCCAGATCATCAAATATTCATACAGCATATGACTGTGCAGAGCAAGGAAGC